ATTTTTTTTATTTTAGAGTCTGAAATCCTTGTCACTTTTTTGTCAAATCACTCTTGTTGCATTCTTAGAAATGATTTTGAAAGTTAAACCTCAAAACCTGGTGTTTAACTTTTTAATCATAAACTAAGAGACAAAACAAATTAGGAACTACAAAGCGTGCAGATTTCAAATTTAAAGACTGCAAAAAAACAAGAACAATCAAAAGCTACTTCAAGGTAAGTTGTAAATTTTTTATTAATACATATCCACTTCCATGAAAGCTGTAAGCAGACATAATAATACATATTATTTAGAAAGTGAGTATTAGTAGTACTAATTTACCTAGCATAAAAGAAAAAGTTATGTTATTTATGCTTCATATGAAATAGTAAACAAGCTTAAAGGGTTAATTTTAATAGTGTTCACTTGACATCTGGGTAATGGTAAATCGTCATAACACCATTAATTTATATTTTCAAAATACAAAATGTTTTTAGAATATTATAAAAATTATTTGATTTGCTATATCTTTTCATAGTTTCTAGTTTAGTTTTTTTTTTCTTTAACATCTTTACTTTCAACTAGGCTGCAAGCAACCACTTTTAGAGTTGGAAATTACTGGAAGTGAAAAGATGAAGTTATTAGAGCAAGATAACGATTAACAGACAATTTAAAAGATAGCAAATTATACAAATTAGTGAAACAAGATGAAGGAAGCAAATTCCAAATAACTGATGTTCGAAGAAAAAAACTAGACTAATAAGATTTTTTGGAGCACTTAGGAACAGTTACTGTAAAAGGATGAGACTTAATTGAATGACCAAAATGAATTTTAGTAGGAGCAGTTTCAACTATGTTTACATAGTTATATATTTACATGTTACAGACTCAGTACTTTTTTTAACTTTCTGAAAACAATTCTCTGTTCTTCAATTGTGCTATTCAAGATTTTCTGCTTGCATCTTTATTAACTAATCATTTAATAATTGACCATAAATCCTCCATTGGACTTGATTCTATAACATTGACAAGATTTTTTTTTAGTACAAAAATGACTTTACTTTTATAAAGGAATCTTAAACAAATAAAGCAAGATCTGGCCAAAACACACATAGATTGTGCCATTGATGTTCCTTTTTATAACTTTTAATACAATCTTCTCAGTAAGTTTTTTTATTGATTGATAGTAGGTTTCTTCAGATTTTTATGATTTTTTTGAACATATGAAGCTGATATTTTGAATTTACTAGCTGTGATACTTGATCATGTTGACCTTAACATTAATTTTAAAGCTTTAACTTTTTTCTGAGGCATTTTATTTGCTTTTTTGCTTGATCAATGGCTTTTAACGTCGTCAGGTTTTTCATTTTCATGTTGAATAAACAATGTTTTAATAAATAAAATATGTTAGTGATTGTAACTTTGTCCAAGTGACAGTGAATGTTATACATTATTAAGTAATGTTAATTAACAATTCCAGTCCAATATTATTTAACAAAAATTATTATGATAATAATTTTCTGGTACTTACAAAATTATTTTCATAACATACAATGGTAAACAATTAATAATATTGTATGTATTAAATAATATGCAATACTGTATATATTAATTTATTAAGAAGATTGTATGAATGAACATGGCACAAAACATTGATTCAAGATTCAAATTACTACTCTTCTATTACCATATGTAAATTTTCTGAATTTGTTGTCATTGCCCAGTGCTACCAATTCTCTAACAGATCAGAGAGATCATGACATATAGGGAAGTCGACAATTATTATTTTAGCTTCATATTACTATTATATTTGGTATCATTGTTTTGGTAGTAGCCAATAATTTGCAAGAGTGTGAATCAGATCATAACAGGGAGCATTTGTTTAGTGAAAATATGGTTTTACTTGAACAAGAGGGTAACCATAAAACTTTATTAAACAAACAAGATTTAAAAACAATTTCAAACTGTTAAACAAAAAAATTATTAATTTTTTGAGAAAATCTGGAATTAGTCCAATAAATTTCAAGTCTAAAGCTGATCCCAATCCATCTGTCAATGT